CCATCACTTTTCACAATTCATCGTGACGGTCACTAATCTAGAGAAACAAGTCTAAAAAAGGCTATCTTTCTGTAGACTTTAAAAAAAAATTGCAGTTGAAAACAGCTCCCTAGGCTGCCAGAGTGGCCCGGGACCACTTGCCCGGCCGGGCCAAAAAAAAAAGAAAGGAAGAAAAAATTAAAAAAAATATATATATTTTTAATTTAACTTCTTGCGAGGATTAGGCCCCGATGAGCCCCTTCTGACCCTGCAAGCAGCACAGTTGGCCGCCCTAAGTGAACGCAGGCGCGACCAAGGCCAGAAGGCCTGTTTTCAGGCTACCACGCAACCGGGGAAAATTCAGGCAGTTGCGCAGCGCCAGTTGGTTGAGAGCGCCCAGGCCCTGGCTGCCTTTTTCGTATGCAACTGAGGCAGGCCCTGGGGCAGATACACAACAGGGGCCGAACCCAGGCTGCGGACAGTTGGGCACAAACAACCGTCACAAGCCCTGGGCCTGATTCGTTAGGACCGGGGCTCAGCCTCTCGGATCCTACCGGAAGCTTCTGGGCGAGGCCCAGCACAGACTGACCGAACGCAGCTAGCAGGGCACTTCCATTTAGGAAAGGCCCTGCCCCCACATTCGGCATTCGGGCACTGGCTGCATTCTGCGCAAGCACTGCTGCGCTACACGCTGGCCAGGCTCACGTGCTCACGGGCGAGCCGAGAGAGAGGCAGGCAGCCATAGCCAAGCTGTGCTGCATAGCTGGATGAGGCGCATGGTGGTCCCTGGGTGCACGTGGCATCTGTGAGTGGGGGATCGAGGTTGTGAATGATACGAGAGACATACTTAGTGCTTGAGGCGAACGGCATTGGCCGAGATCTGCTCGTACTTCGGGGAGCTGTTGATGTCACCAGCGGCATTGTAGATAGGCTAGATAGGATCTGACATTTGTAGTCTGGGCGCAGAGCTCCAGATAGGATGTCGACATTGGTTCTTTGTTGATGATGATGAGACTATTCGAACATTGTCACTTAGGAGCTTTTGCTGTGCTCTTATTTGGTGGGACTCGTGTTGCAATTCTGCTTTTGGTTCGAGGTCGCGACTATCTGGTCTCATGTGTATGATGTTGCTTGGTTTCTGAAGTTCACTATCGCTCATTTTCCTTGCAATTTTGGTATCGGAGCTGTGGTACGGTGCGCATATCTGGCGCTTGTCTTCTGCCTATGCGGTACATGCATGCGGTCTGCTGGGCGAGCGGTCGTACGAAGTGTGTAGTGAGGAGGGCGAAGGCAAGTAGGGCGACCAAGGAGGTGAGGGGTATCGCCAGGAAGGCTACATGGTGAATGATGGGGGTTTGCAGTGTGATGAGAACTCTCTGATTTGCGATTGATGCTGAGGTGGAACGGCGGTGTAATGTTGGTTGTGCCGAAGCAGCGATTGGTCATCACAGTCGGCATCAGGTCATCTGGTGAGAATATCTGTGGTTGGGGGCAGCTATTTTGAGGTACGGTGCACCTAACCTTATCTACCCTCTTCGACACCTCATACCGTGAGGATGACATTGTGTTCTGTCTTGAGAGTCCTCTCATGTGAGGAGTCGAGTGCGCTCAACCTTGAGAGTTGGCATTGTTCACGTGGAGCATCTGGACGGAGAGGGCGGAGCTATCTGAAGGGCCCTGGACGAAGCACTGGGTCACGGTCACCATGCCAACCCACCGGGAGTAGAGCACGCATGCTTTGCTGCTTTGTCCTTTGTCTGCTTGCTGCGCTGATAGATGGGTTATGAGGGGCAGGCCAGACCTACATGGGAGACAAGAACCGGGCATCTATAAATAAACACCGGTGGGGTACCTTCCACTGGTTGTGATCGTCGTCCTGTCTGCGACATTAAAGAATTCCTAAAGGACTGCAGGGGTCGTCCTTAAAAGCCTCCTGATCAGCCAATCGGTCGGTGTAAGGCTTGCTGCACACGAGGATAAACAATGTGCCGGGCTGGCCAGCTCAGCATACACTCGGGGCACAGGGGCAGGAGGCCGTGTGCACACCTTTAGACACGCACGCTGTTCTGGATTGCTCAGGGACGCCGACATCAAGTGCCAATCAAGAGGAACTGAGGGAGGGGTGGATTTCAGGTGATAAGTTTGTGTTTAATTCCACTGTGGAAATATCCACACAGACGATCCTATTTTTATTCTTGATTAGTTAGATGGACTGCCATTGACATCTGAAAGACAGCATTAGGTAGATCTGCTCTCTGTTCGTGGACTAATTAAGTAAAAATAGTTTCGTTTGTAGGAATTTGAACTTACCTGTTGGACCCGAATGTGTAGACTCTGAAATAGCTACCGGTTAAATTATTTATTTATTTTTAAATCGATCTGTGCATGACGCTGCGGTAGGCATCGAGTGAGTTCTGTAGCTTATGAGCAACAGGGAGGACACTAGAGAGGACGATAGGATCTTGCGATCAGCAAGGCGCCCGATAGCCCATTTGGCATTAGGACCAGAGGGCGACAGGTACCTGTTCCGCCAGCAGAGGGAGAGGCGGCAGCAGCAGCGGAGAGCTAGGGCCACAGAGGCAAGCAGGGCATTGGCAAGCGAAGCAGCTACCTCAGCAGCCATGGCCACTGCTGCGCAGCAGAGCTCTCAGGCTAGTAGTTCAGGGGTTGTAGGGTCAACAGTCGCACAGACCCTGAGTCAGTCCGCTGGCGTCATGGCAAGCCAGTCGTTATTGTTAACCCCCGAAGAGATCGCCATACAACAAGCAGATGCTCGGGAGGCACAACTACAGAAGGCTTTAGGGGAGATAAAGGCAGAAAAAGAAAGAATGATCAGGAGAAGAGCAAGGATGCAGTGACGACAAGCAGACATTCGTGAGTTAGAGGAGATAAACCTGACAAATGTGGATGATGATGTGAGGACCCTGAGGACGGTCTTGCTAGATGTGGTAGAAATGCAGGATCACCAAATGGCGCTCTTACCAGACATCCAGCAGAGCCTTGTCGTGCTGGTCGGGCGACCTCAGGCGGCACCATCACCATTAGGGTCTGGTGCCTGGCCCATGGCCCAACCTCCTCCTTTTGTTCCACCGGTGACTGGGGTATCCCCATTTGTAATCCCTCCAGCATCGGTCCAAGCCGTTTCCGTAAGTATGTCATTGACAGGAGGGTTCTCAGCAGGTCCTAGTGTTCAGTTTCATGTACAAACAATGTATCCCCAACCTCCATCGCAGGTTGTCGTAACTAGGCAGCCTGCTGTCTCGCAGCCTGCACAACCGTTGGGCACACAGCCCCAAGAGCAGTTAGTGCAGCAGCCTGCACCCCAGGGTCCACAGCCCAGAGTGGGACAGGTACCGGGACAAGGCCAGTGGGTTCCAAAAACGGCCATTGCCTCACCCAAACCCTTTTCAGGGGACAAGAGGGGCGAAGACCTTGACACATGGTTGAGGTCAGTGTCGGTCTACGTTAAGTGCAAGTTGACCTTGCCACACGAGGAAGTGTTTGTGGCTGCCTCCTACCTTGAGGGGAGTGCAGCAAGATGGTTGAGTGGGTTAGTGCAGCTACAGGGGTACGAACATGACTTCCACGCTTGGGCAGTCAACCAGAAACTGGAAGACTTCCTCAAGATGGTGGAGGATAGATGGCATGATCCTCAGGCAGCCCAAAAGGTCACTGACGCGATCCTGACCTTGAGCAATAGACCGTTCAAACCAGTAAGAGATGCCACAGACGTTATAGAGCGTATGATTTGTGTCCCTGGGGTGCGCTATGACCCCCAAGCCTTACTGACCACTTAACTGAGATGTCTTCCTATGCCACTCAGGAACCAGTTGGCAGGTGAGGCAAATATCAATGTGCACATTTTTCCTTCGTTCAACAAGAAGGCCCTAGACCTGAATGCAAAGATAGGGCATGGGCACCAACCCACTACGAATGGTAGGAAGAAAGCACTGCCTCCCAACTAGAAGGTGAAGGGTCGCATTATGTTCGTCGACAACAATGGTTCCACCATCGAGTTGGATGACGGCTTCCAGGAGGGAGTAGGCTCAGAGGTGGGCAGCGTAGAAGCTTCAGGGGTTGCAGCAGTCACTGCCTTAGTTCAAAAAGGCAAGGCGACCGATAGACGCCGTGGAGGTTCCCGGTCTAGGAGTCAAGTAGACCCCAATGCTCCTTCATGGGAGAAAGGAGGTCTCACTGAGGACGTGCGGAGAGATCGCTATAATCGGCAGGGTTGTATCCGTTGTGGTCAATATGGCCATAATCATTTCAAGTGCCGAAGCAAACAGGTGACTGAGAAGATCACGCCTACAATAGAGCAGGCGATGGGATCCTCCACTTCCGTAAGTAGCAATGTCGCCAGCAGTTCTGGCACTGCTCCGGGAAACACGTCGGGCCAGCAGAAATAGTAGTTGTTTTTGCGAGGATCGAGGTGGTGGACACACCCTCACCATCTCGAGAGATGGCCCAAGCTACTGACTCCGTTGTCGTCCCGCAAACACATTCAGACCCATCGATCCTCTGTTAGATGAATGTGTTTGAGTCCTTAGAGGAGCTAGAGGAGGAGTGGTCTAGATCAGACCCGCTAGCTTCTTGGACGTCCATGGCTAAAGCCCCTAAGGGTGAGTTGTTCGTCGGCGAGGTAGTCATCGGCGGCCGCAAGGGAAGGGCCTATTATGACACTTGCTCGACGCGAAACTTTATCAGTCGCGCGTGCGTTGAGAGGTTGCGCTTATAGGGGCAAGTGCAGCGCCTGAGTCAACATGTGGAGTCGACCTGTGCCAACGAACTGCTTAAGGTAGTCAATGACTACCTTAAGGACGTTGAGTGTTGTTTCCTGTATGTGGGAGGGGAACTGAGACATCGCGTCTCGTTCCTAGTAAGCGATGATCTCCCAATGGATATCATGTTGGTTATGTACTATCTTTCGGTTGCACAGCCCCAATTTAACTGTGACCGAAAAGTGGTCAAACACACTTTGTCCGATGGCGGGACCGCCAGATTACGTAAGTTTAAGGTTAGTG